AATGCAACGATCTATAACTTTAATCAGATGTACATTCTAACAGTGAAAGACAGAATCCCAAAGAAAATTCCAGAAAATCACATCATATGAATTTATAAAAATTGATAACCATCTAATGAGGAAAAATAAGCATTCTTTGTAAGTGGGCAAACCTGCAAAATCAGCAAGGGGTCAAATACTTATTTCCCCCACTCTAAGTAGATAAATAACTTTAAACTTTAACACATGCTCTGATAGGCCGGGATCAATATCGGAAGTAGAAAAACCTGGATGGGGATATCCCTGGTACCGACTGCTCTGAAACAGGAGGCAGGCGGGCGTTTTGGGGCCTCTTTGAGAATTTTTGAGTTTTCTGGGGGATCGTTCGGACGCGGCGTCCCATTTTCCGTCAGAAAAAGCGTCTGACCGGGATCGTGAACCAGATCTCGACTCTTCAAAGTGCCGTGAAAAAAGGAAAGGTCAAATGGGGCGTCGCAGTGCACTCCAAAGGTCAAAGGTCATCTTTAGAAAGGTCAGCAGACGGAGAACAATTTCACATTTTCAGGCTTTGACAATCAATGATTTAATGTCCGCGTGGAGGAAAAAGTGACATTTTTAGATGGATTTTTCCAAACTTAATTAAAAACACCTCAATTGTTGTAGCACTAAACTCATTTATTTGATCTTTTTTTAAAAGGTTACGAATGTCTAAAAAAGAACAGCAGAAGGAAGTGAGAGAAAGTTTAAAAACTTTGGCAGCTTTTTGCTTCATTATTTTGAGACCAATTTATTAATATTTTACAAAGAAAACTAGACCTGTTTCTGTCGGGATCTGTTAATGTGTTTATATTGTTTCAGAGAAAATCTCCCTTTTAAATTTGGATTGTTTGTAATTAAACAGGCTTCTGATTTATTATTCCTCACGGCAGATAATGGGACAGTTAGGAGGTTTAATTAACAGGAAATCCAGACCTGAATCTGCTTTCAGACTCTGGTCCCTCGTAAAACGGGTCGGCTGAACGGAGGCCGCGTTTTCCTCTGGACGTATTCGACTGAACGCTGGAGAAAAAGGAGATTATTAGTGATACTGTGTGAGCAAAAACACTCAGGTGGAGCCTCACGCCTCATCTGATCCACTCAGCAAAGCTCAGAATAATAAAAATATTCCAATAAGAGAATCCATAAATCCAGAGTCTGATCAGATGCTTTTGTTCTGGACTTTTCTCTGGAACTTAACTGGTTTTAATTGGGAGAGATACTTTTAATTTGGCAG